TATGTGTAGTCTATTGTCTTGGCTTACACAAACAACTGAACAGTTCAAGGTATTGCGTCCATTGGTTAGCCAGTAAGTCCGATAGGCTTTTACTATAGGAGGTTTAAAGCCAAAAGCTACCTACCTCGATGTGGTGTATCTTCTTAATGTACTCTTTCTTTGTCTGTATTTTGTTTCATGTCTATTATCATGAATTTCATTCATGTGGGGAATTGTTGGAAAATGGCTTTTGAAACTTTTGAAAAACCTTTATTTTTTGCTAATTTTGAGCATTAATTAAGGTTGGACCCAAGAGTTCTTTTTTTTTTTTTTAATGTTTCTAATTGGGTTCATGTTTAATGCCCCGTAGTGAATAAAATCGTGTATATGGTTACTCAAAACCATTTCTGGATGAATGAGAATTTAACACGCGTTTTCGGGTTTCGTGGAAATGGCTTTAGGTTGGTTTCTTACATATTTGTGAAATGTGCTTGTCCCCCATTGGAAAGGCTTATGGATTTGTGTAGGTTTATATACCTTAGCTTAAGATACTTGGGATAGGCCCCAAGGGGTATCCAAATTTGTGAAATGGTGAGATTATGGGTGAAGTGGGCTAAACCCATTAGACCCAAAACAAAAACCACACGCGCGCCGCTGCCGCCGTCTGTCTGGTAGGGCAGGCGGGCTGGGCTAGGCCTGGGTGCGGGTACGTGATGTGAGGTTAGGTTGGGCTTGTTCGGCACAATACTTATCTTTTTGGGTCAAAAACATTTGTAATTATTTATTTATTTTTAATTTTGGTTTCAAAATTCAAAATAAATTAGTCTAAAATTTTTTCCTTTACCCAAATAGATCCTAACCCACCCGAATAGGTTTGAACCTGTTGAATCTTTTCCCGGACAGATCTGTAATTGTCCAAACAGTCCAAACAGATTTTCTATCTGTTGAAATCTATCCGAACAGTTGCTTATCTGTTGGCACCTGTTCGGAACAGTCATCTTTTCTCTTATATAAAGCCTGTCATTCCAGTATTTCTTGCATCGAAAATTTTCTAGACTTCTTCACTTTCTTCTTCTGTTCGTCTTCATTTGCTCCTGCATCTGTTTATGCATTTATTTTTAGGAAAAGAAAGAGAAAGAGTTACAGCATCATTTGGTTCACCAGACTTGATTTTATGGTTCTATAAAATCAAGTATTAGTCGTTGTATCCTGAGAAGTAGACGCCGATTAAAACTCGAAGTACCGGAGTAAGGGCGAAATCTACTTTAAGGAGATTGTATCCAACACAAGCCTCTACATTAATTTCTGTAAGCGTTTAATTCGGAAAATAATTTATATAATTATTTTTTGAATTATTTTATTTTATTGTTTATTTTATTTACACATTTAATTTACAGACAGACATGGAATAACAAAGATTTCCAAAAAAAAAAATTTCTTTGAAGAATAAAACATAAAATTGAATATTGAAACTTATGAAATTTCTGAAATAAAATGCAATTCGAAGCTTTCATGCATCAATATTTCAAAATCCAAACCCAAAATCATGGGTCCATTATTAATTCAAATTCTTCAACTCTTTCCTCTTGTTCTTCAAAACATGAAATTAAATACATAAATCCATGAAATTAAGAGTGTGAACTTAAGGAAATTTTCTAAAAATAATCAAAAGATGAGCTCTTATGCATGCAATTCCAAAATTCCAATTAAAATGATGAAACTTAACATAATCTTCCATGAACATGTAAATAACCCATTTCTTGCTCAAAACCCAATTTCTTTCTAATTCCATGAATATAATCTCAAACCCTTCTCAATCTCTTCAAGTATAATAAGAAGATTCTATACAAATCAAGCTTAAATTTCATACCTTAAATTTTAATTTCAGCAATTAGAATTGATTTTCCTTTGTGTCTTCTTATTCATCTTCCTTCAATTTCACAAATCTTGAGCTTCTTCTCTCAAGAATGGAGCTTTCTCGCTCTACACTCTCTCTCAACTCTAGAACTCACTCTCCCTCTAATTCCTTCTCAGCAAAATAGAATGAGGACACACTTCTTGACTCAACACATATACACACATAATTTCTCAGCACACATACATCCACATATACCCTCAATTTCTAAATTATTCCACAATTCAATTTATGATTAAGATTAGCTTAATTAAGCAACACTTTTTAATTAATCTTGATTGATACTTAACTTAATTAATCATAACTAATCACAAATTCCACATAATTTAATTAGTCTAATTAACTTCAATTAAGGCCCGATTGATCATATTTAATTTTATCAATCTAAATCAGATTTTTAATCAAATTTCCAAAAGGTTTCAAATATCAAATTAAACTTATTGTCATCATCAATTTTAGTTTCTCAAATCACTGAGGCCTTCAATTTCATATCAAACTCAAAATTCCTATCAATAATTTATACATTAAAATTAAATATCTCATAAATAAATTTAATTCAAAATAATCACAATTACTAATTCTCATATCCAAATTGGCTTAATTAATTCTAATTCGAGCCCAATTAATCAAATCTTAATTTTGCTAAACTGAATCGAAACTAAATATTTAATTAAACTCCTATATGGTTCAATACTTGAAATTAAACTGATTCAACTTACAAATTTCACCTTCTTAAGCTATTTAGGCTTTCAATTTCTAATTTCAAAATAAATTCTTAATAGAATCATATACGAATCAGACTAAATAATTCTCATAAATCCCAAATTAAATTAGAATAATAGACAATTAAAATTCAAATTCCTTAATTAATTAAATATAAAATATTATACATGGTCACGAACAAATTGAATAATCGATGTATAGATTCATAGTGAGCCTCATGTGCCAAAATATATCTCTCTAATTCAGAGTTGTGCTAGGAACACAAGCACCAAATATAATAAGAGACATAAATATCTCATAAAAAGTAGGTTATTTTGAATTCACATTATGTGAATTTTTATTTTTATTTTGTTACATGAAAATCCTTCTCCTCACCCGTAGGTCCAAGGCAGCGTCCCTTGCAGAGATTATCAAGGTGTCCTGTTTTCTGTTTTGAGATAAGAGATTATAATTTGAAAATTTGTCCTGACCTTTTAAGACAAGTTCCGCTTAAATCAAGGCTCGTATAACGAAGAAATATTAAATCCATGTGATGAAACTATTTGAGACTACTCTCCTAATTGACTGTGTTGTGCCTAAAAAAATTTGTCCAAAGGAATTTCGAGCCTGGGACCGAGGGCTTAAACCCCAGGCCTTTGCCATATTTGGCGAATGTGTTCTACTTACTGCTCCAGTCGATAGGGGTTCCTCTTGTGGCAAGTCATTAAATGCATTTAACTCCTATTAAATTACATTTATATACAAGTAGCAATTTAATAAATTATGGGACATTGTTAACAGGCTCACTTAGGGTTTGTTTAGAAATTGATTATTTTAATTGATTTTTTAATTTTTTTTATAAAAAAATATATAAAAAAAATAAAAAGTGTAATGTAATAATTTATATTAATTTTTTAACTTTTGAGTTAAACTAACCTTTCCAAACAAGGCTTTAGGGTCACATCAAGCCTTGCTGTGAGTAAGGGTGGGCTCACTTCGGGTCCATTGAGATGATATACAGTTAGAAATAGCCATAGGTTGGGTTTGGGCCGAATTTATAATTCCTTGCCTGGTATCATCATATGGAGGGTGATGCAAATTGGATTAGCTAAATGTAACATTTAAAAGTTCGACAAAATGAATTTTTAAAATCTTTTTCTTCTATCTTTTTGCTTATGTGATGTGAGATTTCATAAAATGAATAATATGAAATAAATAACTACAATAAAGACGGTCACGTGCGGATCCATAAGTTGTCCCACTTCTTTATTTCACATTTATGTTTAAATTTTGTGAAAATTTTATATATTCTTAAACGTTTGTTAGGCACCAGCCAAGTTTTTAACGTTAATATTTTTGGGGCACTTAAGCCTTACCTTATTTTTGTTTTTGGTCATTATGAATGTATTAATGCATAACAGAATTAGTTAAGTGGTAAGTGATAAGCATATGCATTTAAGCACAATTTATTACTGAGTGACGTTATACAAATAAAATATTTATATATAATTACATGAGTTCATTGTAGACCTCTTACTTCATGATAAAATATCATTAAAAATAAGGAATAAATTTTTAATTTTTAATTTTGTCAATTTAAATTAAAATTTTTAGATTTTTTTTACATTGAATTTAATGACTAAAAACACTTTTTAATAATTTTACTTAGGGTTGCTCATGGGTTGGTTTTGGTTGGATCGGGTCACAGGTCTGACCCAATTTGTAGTATTGCGAGTTAGCAAAAATGAACCCATAGCCGCCCACACTGTAGATTGTGATATGTGTGAGTGGGTCAACCAAATCTAACGATTGATACGGATGGTTTAAGATTCAAGTTTTCTTAAGATGGTAGTCGGTAATTTTTATGTACATCCCTAATTTTACTTAACAAAAATAAGAGAATGATTTAGGTTTCGTTTGGCATCAAAGTTGGGCTAATTTAGCTAAAAAAAAATAAAATAGGCTAAAAAGTTAAAATAAGACAAAATATCACATCAAAATCATAATTCACTTTTTTCTCTTACAACTATCACATCTAAATAAAAAAGTCAAAAATTTACTCCAAGCAAATTTTTTTTAGTTAGGCTAAATTAGCCAAAAAAGGCGGACTAAATTTTGTTTAATCTCAAGCGATAACTTAGGCCTCATTTAAAAATTAGTTATTTTAATAATTTTTTGATTATTTACAAAAAGATGTACAGAAAATAGAGAGAGTGATGTGATAATTTATAATAATTTTTTGAATTTTTAACTAAAATATATAATTTACAAATGAGACCTTAAATTAAAAATAAATTTTAAAAACTAAGATTTAATAAAATAAAAAACTCAAAATTTATTTAGGTATAATACTCAAAATTTGAGGTTGTTTTGTAATTTTCATTAGTATGATGGGAATAGAAACTTTACTTTAGAATCTCGCTCTTTCTGCTCTCTCTTCTATCTGGTTTCTCTCTCCTCTCTCTATCTTCTCTTTCCTCTCTCTCTATCTTCTCTCTCTTAGGTTTCTTCTCTCTCCTCTCTCCTCTCTCCAGAAGGGCCAAAAAAAACCCTAAAAGAGCTGTTTACCAACAAGTAAGTTTCTCTCTCTCTCGCTGTCCCTGTCCCTCTCTATGTTTCTCTCTCTAAAACCTGAAGTTTTCTCTTTTCTCTCTGTAAAATTTGAAATTTTGCTCCTATGTTGTTTTCACTGCATTTTCATTCTCGTACATACAAATTTTGGGGTGGATTGAATTAATATTGTGGATCAGTTTTCATTTTGTTTTGTTTTTCTTTCGTTTAAGATTAGATCTTTGAAATCCCAAAACTTTTTTTTGACTTTGTTGTTGAAATTTTAGATTTCCGGAATTGGGGTACATTTGGAGCAATTTTATTTTGAAATTTATGATGTTGAATATAGGTCGGTTGATGGTTATTTGCTTGGATCTTGTCACCCTTGTATTTGTATTTTCAGTTTCAAGTTCTCATCTATCAGATCTGTTTTTCATTTATTGTTTCTAGTTTTCATCGTCTCTGGTGATTTTATAGACATACCCATGATGGGCAATGCCATTATAGTTTTGTGGAAATGGGACTTGTTCTGGGTTGTAGCGATTTCGATCCCCTTACCTTCGATCTTGCATTTTGAATTCTATGCTTTTTGTATCTGTGTTTTGATTTTGTTATTTGTGGTATTTCTGGATTTTATAGCACAGTACTGCAATGCCTTAAGTGGGAAAAATGAAAACACGGTAAAGATTTAATCTTTGTTGCTTTTATGGCTCAATCTGTAGTTTCGATGGACGACGATGGATTGAATATGCGGAATTGGGGTTATTATGAACCTACTTCCCTAAAAGGGCATCTTGGTCTTCAGCTCATGTCATCCATGGCAGAGCGAGACGCAAAACCCTTCTTATCTGGGCGGGATCACGGGGTTATATTAAGTCCCAATGGGGCTTTTCATCCTCGAGATTGTACGGTTTCAGAGGCACCTGTACACATGGACTATATGAGGGACAGTTGGGTAAACCACAGAGATAAATTTCTTAATATGTTACCAGGAAACCCCAATTTTATGGTTCTTCCCGAACCTTCTGCAACTCATCCCTTGCAGATTTTACAGCCACCCGATACATCAAATGATGAGAGGGTGGTCATGGAAGATCAAGGGGTTAGGAAGGAAGGTGGGTCTTTGAAGAAAAGGACAGGTGGCAGCACCCCAAAAGCCCCAAAACCGAAGAAGACTAAAAAAGGTCCTTCTGTGCCAAAGGAAAACGGGAATTCTTCTGTTCAAAGGGCGAAACCAGCTAAGAAGAATATGGATGTTGTTATAAATGGAATTGATATGGATATTTCCGGTATTCCCATACCGGTTTGCTCTTGCACTGGAACTCCTCAGCAGTGTTACCGATGGGGATGTGGTGGTTGGCAATCGGCATGTTGTACTACAACTATATCGATATACCCCTTGCCAATGAGCACAAAAAGACGTGGAGCAAGGATAGCTGGAAGGAAGATGAGTCAGGGTGCATTCAAGAAGGTTTTGGAGAAACTAGCATCAGAAGGTTATAATTTCTCTAACCCAATTGATCTGAGGACTCATTGGGCAAAACATGGTACCAACAAGTTTGTGACAATCAGGTAGATTTACAATGGTTGGTACAGTTATGCATCGCATTTGGTCTGTTTTTTCTGTATATATTATGTGGCCTTTTGCAGAGGTTTATCTGATACTTTTGTAGTCATGGCCTTTAATAGTCATGATACATGTTTTGAAACATTAGACATCTTGGATCCTCCACGATGGTTGTTTAATTTTCCTGTTTGTGTTTAAAGGCTACCAATGTCTGGCCTTAAGATCTAGGATTTTGGATGTTTTTTTTTGTTATTTATTTATTGAACCATTTTGAGATAATATCCTTTATCCTTGAATCTATTGTTGTCAAGGATCAGCAATTCAATGTTGTTTTTCTATATTTTTATGCCAGCCTATTTTGATAGCTTTTTTTGATTGTTTCTATTATTTTTTTAAAGCAGAGGAGTTTGACTTAGTTTGCCAAAATTTTCAATTTGATGCTATCTGTTGTTGTGATGCTATACAGTATGAATGCCTTTGATGCCAGTGTAATAAATTTACCAGTAAATTTCATGCATTTTTTGACGAAGGGATTGGTTAGATATGTTTGATTGTGTCTAGAGACATTTATGTTTGTTTTTAGTTTTCTTGGTTAAAGTCCAGGTGCATTAGCTGAAATATAACTACTTTTATTTTTATTTTTATTTTTTTCTATTTATTTTTCATGTTCAAGTTTTGCAGAAAGAAATAAATTGTATGTGAGATGTTTGAAATTGCATGGAGAGAAAACATTAAATAGATTGGTTCATCAACCAAGTCTCAATGTTCATCATGCACATATTTCTTAATCCTGTTGTTTCTAGTGAAGTTGTGCAAATGATTACAATTTCCATTTCTTGGTGTGGGCATTGTAAAGTAGTTTCTTGAACAGTAGCAGGATTGAAGAGGATTGAAATATTTATGGTTTTGGAATTGGTTTAAGGTTTCCAAAGAGGTTTAAAGTTTGTGATTATTGAAAATGTTGTGCTGAGAATCTTCAATGGTGCTACATACACCAATTATTATACTAATTAGTGTACCAACACATGTTATAGCATTGTAATTTCAAAATTATAAACCTCACCCATTATACAAACTATAAAGACTCGAAACCAATAAAATTATTCCACATCATCTGGTAGTACATTAATTGGTATATCAATTGGTGCGTATAGCTTTATTCGAGAATCTTTTATGCCTAGTGGAAACTCTAGAATTGCAGTTGTGTCCTAGTTTGGAAATATGCATCTTTCTTTACATAGAACCATGAACTTGTTTAAGAGATTCAAGTTCCCTAGAAACTTGATTTATTGCACCGAGTGGTTCATGCTTTGACGGAAAGAAAACATTTGATTTAATTTTATTTACATTGATAGATGATGATATCATGGTTATTAAAATTGCGATCAGGATCATACGATTCTACATTGCTAAAATGATCTAGATCGTTGTAGGATCGATGTTATAACAGGATCGCAAGTAGGACTGTGTAGGATCGTATGGGATCATGCAAGGATCGTATAGGATTGTAGGTAGGATTGTAGATTTTATGATTTTTTATCTTATTTTTAATATGTATCAATCTAATTTGTATTTTTATCTTTTTTTGTATTTTGCTTATATCTGGGCTGATTTTAAGTTTCTGGTGGTTATATTAACTAATGGACTTTTGAAAGTTAAACAAGGCAATTCTTTGATTGGTTGGTGCCCATACTCAAAGTAGGATGGAGTTATGAAAGATAAATGTTATTGAGCTTTTGATTGTTGAATTGGAAATGAGAGTCTGGCGATTGCTATTTTTAGTTACTCATTTGCTCTTTTTTTGTTTTAGAATCTAAAAAAGTTGATATGTTTTGTAATTGCTAAAAAAGTTGTTTTTTAGTTTTGGTTGAGGAAGGGAATGGATGTCAGAAATTGGTTGTGATAAGTTGGCCATGTCATCCAGGGATTAACAGCTATACCATTGAGTAGTGATATGGTTTAGTTAGAAGGTTATAGAAGGGGACCAAAAATGACTTGGGTTGTTTTGGGGAATATATGTTAGGCTCTGAGAGAGTGAACTCTATAATGATAAGTAGGTTTTCACTGTGTTGTAAAAAAAACTTCATATGAAGATGTCAAGATTAGTTCAAAATACATCAAACACAGATACATTAAAAAAAAAGAGGGAGAATTTGCACCCACAGAGTTTGAGTTGCATCACATCACATGATGAGTTGCATCCCATCCCATCACATTTTTTTTTTATTTTATTTTTTATTTATTTATTTATTTATTTTTTGTGAGGGTTGGCTAGGAGGAGAAAGGAGAATAAGGTTGTAAAATTGTTTGGACTAAATAATCAATTGCATCATAAAAATTATGTAACCTTTGAATTCATGTTAATCTATCTTATACGATTCCTATGATGAAGTTAGTATTACATCTCTGCAATTGAATACACATATTTTAGTATCACATTTTTATTTTCAATTGTCCAAAATGGCATTTCGTAGAGGTGATGACTGTTTCGTCTTATCTTTTTGTTCCAATTGCATTTGGTAAAATTGTTTCCAATGCTAAAATTTGACATTTTGTTCTTCAAGTTATTGGGTGCATCTATTTAAAACATGTGTTCCAAAACATAATTCTTTCGGGTGAATTATTTTTTGGTAACACTGCTCATCATCAATTTGGGACCATAGTTAAAAGTCAAAACCTATTTTGGGTCATATCATTTCTCTATCTTTTACACATTTAAAAAAAGAATCAAATAGTCAATTTTTAAGTAACTTCCCAAAACAACTCAATATATGTACTCATAGGAATAAAAATGAAATGTGGAGGCTGCTGATGCTGCAATTACTTTACTGATTTTATGGCCATTTGCTGTGTTAGAAATATAGGAGAAAGAGAGGAGAATATTGTGCTGAGATTGATGTTAAACTATTACAATAGGTATCTTATTGATACGCTTACAGAGAAAGCAAATCAAGTAATCCAAATTAGAAAGAGAATGACTCATCTCTACATCATTTTATATCCTTGATATCATATTTTGTGGAACCCATTTTTGGTTCATAATGATAATTCAAACTATTCATTTAGTAAATTTTGTAGTGAAGATTAGTTATGCAAAAATCAGCTTTATTGGATTGGGGGAATTACATCCCTGTGGAAGAAAATATTTTTCTTACACAAACATGGAGAGGTGCAAGTTGCACCCTCCACTCCACAACCTCTCACTTGCACTTGCACTTGCACTACTGGATACTGGATGCTGTGATTTTACGCGCGATGGTCGCTCGATGGTCGCTCGAGCGGAGCCCTGGACAAAGGTGCTCGCTCGAGCGGGGAATCCTTCGCTCGAGCGAGGAAGCCAAATCTGGAATTTCCAGATCTGCCTCCCAAGACGCGACACCATCATGCTTTTACTACCCAATTGTCCTGAATTCGTCTTCGCTTTCCTCGGCGCATCCTATCTCGGCGCAATCATAACCATGGCAAACCCATTCTTCACACCCGCCGAGACAATCAAACAAGCAAAAGCTTCAAATTCTAAGCTCATCATTACCCAATCGAGTTACACAAGTAAAGTACTCGATTACTCAAGCGAAAACAACGTGAAGATCATCTGCATCGATTCTCCTCCAGATGGGTGTTTACATTTCTCCGAATTGACTCAATCCAACGAAACCCAATTGCCAGAAGTGGCAATCGATTCAAACGAAGTCGTTGCCTTGCCATATTCATCAGGAACAACGGGTCTACCAAAAGATGTGATGTTGAGCCACAAAGGGCTCGTGACGAGCGTGGCACAGCAAGTCGATGGAGAGAATCCAAACCTGTATATTCATAGTGAAGATGTGATGATGAGTGTGTATGCCGTGAATTGTGTGTGCTGGGTGTGTGTGTTATGTTTCTCAGTCTTTTCTTTTCTTTTTTCTTTTTCTTTTCTTCATGGCTTTGTTCCTTCTCTCTCCCAAAATCTGTGTGTGTGCTTTCAACCAAAAAAAAAAAAAAAAAAAAAAAAAAAAAATCAAAAGATCTCTCTCGGCATCTCTCGGAAACACCCACACAGCTCACTCTCTCTGCAACTCTCTAGCTGGGTCTCTCAATCTACAACGCACATGGGTCTCTCTCTCTTTGAGGGGCCACTCAGTCAACTGACTTTCTCCTTTATTTTATTTATCACCATATCCTCCACCACCTCCCTTTCTTTCTTTTTTTTTTTTCTAAACAATATTTTTGAACAAACGAACCCACAAACCATGTGCTGGTTTTACCCAAATCAATGGGCCACCCTACACCCAAATCAATGACTCTTTCATCTTTTTTTTTAATCTAATGGCTTGCACCATCATGGGTTGCTTTGAACAAAACCGTGGGCCCCATTATCTTTTATTTTATTTTATTTTATCTTTCTTTTTCCAAAAAAAAAAAAAAAAAAAAAAAAAAAAAAAAAAAAACC